ACAGGAGCGGGTATAGTTATAGAAGAACAAGAAATAGCATATAAAGTAAGTTTACCAAAAATCTGTTCAATATTTACCGCAGAGGCCTTCGTGATAAAAACGGCGTTGGACATTATGGTAAATGAGCGCAATATCAGACCAAAAGACATTGTAATTTTGTCAGGCGGTTCTGTTAGCCTTGCAAAATAACACTATAAGTGTGTATCATAATAGATATGTAATAGAGATTAAGGAAATACAGGATAGATTGGAGCAACAACATGAGAAAAGAATATTATATGTATGGATACCTGCACATATGGGGATTAAAGGGAATGAATGGGCGGATACACTAGCCAAAGAGGCCACGGAAGAGGAAGTAATAGAAATCCCAGTTTGGGACTATCGTCCTATTTTTAAAAAAGAAACGTGGAATGATACACAAGATACTTTAATTAGTGAAGTTTAATATAAAAGAGTATTTTATTTTAAAAACTTTTACAACAGAAAAAAAAGAAAGCCATGGTTTTATAAGATAAACGCAGAAAGATACTATATTACACTAGCAAATAAAATAAGATCGAACCATTTTAATTTAAATGAGTTCCTAGCTAGAAAAAATTACATTGGGCATGCGCGATGTGAGTGTGGATGCAAGTGCGAGAGCTTGGAGCATGTGTTATGGCACTGCAACAGGCATGGGAAGCTTTCCATCAAGGCATTTAGGCGACACACATCGACACGGTGTCAGACACGGTGCTTTCCAACAATAACACGCCACGGCACGGTTTGACACGGCAGAAGAGCATAGTCGAACACAGAGTCTAGTTCATGGCTGCCAATTTTTGGGATGGTATTCTAGAGAATTTTCATTTTATCCATCTGCAAAATATATTTATACTCATCGCGATCGTAAACAATAATTAATGATGGTTATGTTTGATTGTACGTACTTTAAATATGCCAATATGCTCTTGGTACGCCAATTTTTCAATTTAATGAACTTACTAGATATCATGGGAAGACATAAGCAGACTCTAGCAGTCTAGTTCAGAACTAAACGTATTCCATCAAGTATCCAAGCACGGTGTTTGACTGTGTCACAAAGTGTCGATCTGTGGGCTTGTTCGTTTTAGCTACACTGGGGCTGCTCTGGGTCTGCTCTACACAGGATAATACAGGACAGATAAATAGTTTGTCCTGTATTATCTTGTTTAGAGCAGACCCAGAGCTGCCCCAGTGCAGCTAAAACGAACAAGCCCTGTGTCTCCTAGATGGAAAGCTCCCATGATGAAGCGAGAATCAGGATGGATGTACGGTTGAGAGAGAGAGGAAACACGAAAAGCATAGACATTATAGAAGTACTTAAGAAAGAGGACTGGAACACATACGCAGAAATATATAAATTTATTAAGACAATAGGGAAAGTAATATAAAAGACAGTAATAAAAAGAACAAACATTTAAGTGTGAGAGCCCATGTGCTATATAACTCAGTAGGAGAGTTGAAGGCACGTTATATCAAGGCACGTCGTGACAAATCACGATATATATCCTCCAACCAGAGGATAACCTCAAAAAAAAAAAAGTGTCAAAAGAATAATATTAGGTCTGTTCTTTATAGCTGAACTGGCTGTACTAGTTCAGAGTTTATCTTTTTCCCTCCACATTGGAAGGAGAAAGATAAACTCTGAACTAGTGCAGCCAGTTCAGCTATAAAAAACAGACCTATTGAATTCGGCTACTCGCACTACATTGCACTGGTGCACATTCAA